GGGGGTACTTGGTTGATTGTTTTTGTGGTTGCTTTCACATCTCTCGTGGTTTCCCTCCGGTTGGGCGGCAGCGCCTTGCCAACGGGTTGTCACTGCCTGCGATGGGCTTCTGAATATTTGATGTGCGTTTCTTTTTTTTTTGTTTTGGCTTTTTTACAATGCGCTGGATGGGCCGTTGAACGCAACCCCTCCTCTCTGCGCCTCTCACGGCTTCGCTGTTGTCTAGGCGTCGTCTTTGTTTTTGGCCGAACGCCCGACAGTAATTGCTACCGGAGAACTTTTTATAGTTTCTGTTGTTTAACTCGTATGCGCCGCAGTGTGCGTTGATGTGTCCGCCTGTTGTTGTCTTCCCTTCGTCTGGGCGCTGCAGTGAGATGTACCTGGGGATTGTTTTTACCCTTTTTTTTTTGGTAGTTGTGTTTGTTGGAGTGGTTTCTTTCGGAGGAATGTTTTTGAAGTGGCGGCCAGATGGATAGGTTTGTTTTTCTTTGATGTGTTTTTTTTGTTTTTTGGTTTTGGGCTTGGTGAGGTTGCTAGGGACTGGTGTGTGACTGCAGGGCAGGTATATGCGTCCCTGGCATTGGTGGTGCGCGTGACGTTCCGCTTTAAGGGGGAGCGGCGTGCCTCTGGGTCCACGAGTGCGTTGCCAGTGCACATGATCGGTGCTGTGCATAGAGTATTTCCTGAACGAGGGTACGGTTTTGTTTTGGCCGTGCCGCCTCCTACATCACTGGCGCTTATGATGTGGCTGCTGTTAACACTGACGACAACAGAAACAGAATCCGAAGAAGCTGCTGACGCTGGACAGCAGCAGAAGTTGTTGTCGCAAGGCGAACATTTGAGTGTATGGTTCCCGCTGCGTAAATACGGTGTTTCTACTTTGAAGAGGAGGGAGAAGTGCGAGCGTGCAGCTCATTATTCATTACAGCTATCTCCCGGATCGTACGTGAAATTCTCTGCCACCTGCCATTATGGCACGGTGAACCAGCGGCTTGTATGGCGGGCGGGGTGTGTGTGTGTGCAGTGTGATGCTGAGGAGTTGCGAGAAGCTCTCCAAAAGGTTAAAGACTTGCGGTGGGACTGCATCATTCTCGACGAGGTAAAGAGGAAGGAGCTTCAAATCGCGCGGCAATACGCTTTGGTGGAGCAGATGACGGTTGAAAGTGCCTTTTTCAAGCGTGCTGTTACGGCAGCGGAGACTTTTCGAGCTCTCTTACTGGAAGAGGCTGTGGCGGATGACATTGGCACTGAAGAACTTCAGATGCGCCTAGCTCAGGAACGAGTACGCGGACTTTTTGATTGCCTTAGTAAGGCAGCGCAACGACACGTTGTTCGTGAGGCAGACTTGCGGCGGCCGCTACTCTCAATGTGGAAAGATGTGGGGACGTAAGCAAACGCTGGAGGAGGCGGATTTGCTTTGCGTCCTTATCATTTAGCGGCGGATGAGAGAGGACGTTGGGAGTGCGTGTGGCGGCGTTTAAAGGAGCATGGCTGAGAGACAGTGGGGGCTGTTGTTCTTTGTTGCCCCTGGTTTCTTCCTTTCCTTAAAAAAAAAAAATGCCTTTGCTCTTCCCCGTTTTGTCTTTTCGTTTATCGTTTTTAATTCCCTGCTGCCCTTGACGAGGCTGGCTCTGCTGTCAACCCGCACCTATTTTTTTTGCGTTTCCGTGCCTCAAGGCATTGCTCATCGTGCTCCGTGATGTGGCGTGTTTTATTGCGTTGGGTTTTGTTTACCGCGGTTTTTGCCGACGCCGCGTTGGCCGCAGAAACCGACGGGTTTGGGGTGCCCAAATAAGACTATAACCATTGTGGTGAACTGGTAACGAACGAAGGAGTCAACCTTGAGGGCCCTGGCGGAATTGGGAAGCGTGACAAAAATGAAGATGATTCCACCAGGGTTTAGCGTGATCTCGAGTGAGATAACTCTACAAGGGCTTAAGAAGCCCCTAATGCATTAATCGTCGTCGAGAAGGAAGGTGATTCCAAAGCTCAGAATTCTCATGTGTATGTGGTCTTTGGTAAATATGGAGGTGGCTTTAAGATGACTGCTAAATTTTTCACCCACATCAGGGGTAAAAGAGCGTCAAGAACGAAGAAATGAGCATAACTCACCTTCGACGATTTTTCGTGCCATTGGAAGCAGAAACACTCGGAGCAAAAAAGTTGGTCAACTCGTTGTCTTTTTGCTTGTATTTGATATATTCTCTGCGTGTGTCTTCTATGCAAACGGCAGTCCGTCAACGGCACGCCTGTTGCTTGGGTACACCAAGCGACTTCTGCGCATTGTTGGGGGTGTGAGGCACGGCGTTCACTTGACAAATGAAGAGGGCCCGGAAGTGGGGCAGGTTGCTGCCGCTGTCGAGGTCATTCACTGTGACGGCGGTGCCATCAAGTCTAAAAAAACCATTCATTTGAGTGACGTTTTTTGTGAAAACACTTTATCGTCCACTCTGTTCTTGGGTGAGAAATTGTGGGCGCTGCTATCGTGCTCACTAGTCGGGGTATGTTTGTGGGACTTATTTTGTGCTGTTATCTAACGTGGGGCTGTGGTTTTTTCTTTCTTGATCTCCCTTTCACCGTGGCATTGTGATTTTTTGTTATTCAGGAGGGAATTGTGACAGGGAATATGGTCTCGTGGGCGCTATTCTACTCTCCTGCTTATTTTATCCCTGCCCAATACCACGTGTTCATATCATCTACGCATATTACTAACGCAACACCGCCCTACATGTATCAACATCAACCTATTAGAGGGAGAGCCGTTTGTTGGGCGTTCTGAAAACTGCAAGCAAATCATGCTTGTGATAACACTGTCGTTCTTGTGGTTACAGTGGGGCATCATCCGCAGACTGATCGACTTGTGGTGTTTATGTCTTTTTATTTGTATGGTCTCGCCACCAACGACGAAATTCACGTCGCTTTCATGCCGCGTTTTTTTTTTTAAAAATCCCTTTACAACTCCATGCATGTAAATAGTTTGGGCCAATAACAAGGAGGATGTCCAGTCACAGTAGTGACGTTTATGTCATGGAGGACTCGGCGGAGCCGCTGACGACGGGGTCTGCAAACTCCCAGTCAAGGGGCCTGATATGCTCTTCTTCCTTCACCTCGTCGAGATCGGCCAATGAAGGGTGCAGCTGTCAACCAGCACCGGTGCCGGCACATGTTGCTTGTACGGTTGGAACAAATACGGAACAGCAGGTTGAGGAATATGTGACGAGCCTGCTGCAGAGGGGTATCATGGGTCTTATGCACACCATTGCTGGTGATGAGTTTGCCTACCATGTAATGGAAAAAACCTCTCAGGGCGTTGAAAGAAGTTACATCGAGCAGGTTATAGGAGCCGCTCAAAGAATGGTGGACTTTCTTCATGAATTGGGCATGCGTCAAACACTACCAGCGCGAGTGAAGGAACCATTACCAGAAGTTGCCGTGGTGGATGTCAACGCTGAACCTGAGTGGTTGGCGGAGCTGCGGCTCTCGATGACAAAAACCAATAGTCTTCTTGAGGGCATCATCAAAACGAACGAGAATGCGTCGACAGCCGTGGATGCGGCGAACGAGACGAGTTCAATTCCAGTGGTGCCTGCAGCTATGTCGGTCATGCCTTTTCCTCCACAGCAGGCACCTTCATTTTCACCTTCTCTGCAGGCTGAGACGGGGCGTATACAAGAACTTGAACTTGAGCTTCGAAGCATGCAGGAACAACTAGCAGAGATACATCTGGTGTTTGCGAAGGAAGGAGTTGATAGTGTAATACCCCTCTACAGTGAACTACTGTCCCTGCGTGGTGCCAAGCGAGAAGCCGCATTGCGAGACATGGAAAGCACCATGGCCTACCTTGCCACCCAGGAATGCTGCTTTGAACAACAGCTGGAAACAATTGAAAAACGTAAGCGTGCTCTGGACCTTGAATCTTGTCGTCGCTTCTACCAAGGCGGAGACACCGTGGCCAGCTTGGCGGCGGATGTTGAAAAATTGGCGCAGCTGGGACGTCAGATTAACTTGCTTCGTGATGAATATCGACGGTGTGCGGCGGAGGTTGATCCTATGGTTTGCACCTCCTCCACTCCGTGCAAGGGCGAAAAACGACGGCGCACCTCGGTTGATAGTTTCCGCATTCTTCTTGATCACCAGTCAGAAAGAGGTGAAGAGATAATGATGTTACGCGAGGGCCTGAATGCACAAAGACGGGAAACGGAGGAGTGGAGGCAGCGCTACGAATCCGCCGTTCACGCGATGAGTCCACCCCAGGAGAGTACACTTTTTACTTCCTTGTTACAGGAGGTGGAGGCTCGGGTCTCCCAGGAGGCGTCTGACAGATGTGCACGTTTGTGTCGTCTTTTCGGTTGGGAACTGCTCCAGCTGAAGGATAACGCTGTTTCCCTTGCACGTATCAGCTGTGCGGAGGAACAGCTGACACTGTCAATGCCGGACGCTTCGGAATGTGAGAGGAATGCCGTAGCGAGAAGTATTGTGTTGGCGAAGAAGGTGTTGGAGAGCTCGGTGGTAAATCGAGGAGAGCGTCAAGAAAGTCAGCACGCGGACGAGGAAAACAATAAGGAAATTGAGGATGAAGTTTCCACGCTGGAGGAAAAGGAGGAGGCCGAGCCAACGAAGACGGATTTGACGAAGGAAATACCATCGTCACCAAGTAAGGAAGGCCATGAATTAGACGAGGGTGCGGATGAAGCGGATACGATTGCTGCAGGAGCACCACAACAGGAGGACTCTCCCTCAGAAAACACACCAGACTCAACAGCTAAATTAGAGCCTTCCTTCTACAACAGCGGTCTGTGGGAAGAATGATAATAGGCAGGTTTTCAGCTACATATAGCAGGGCATCATTTTTCTTCACACATTCCGTTTATGAGTTGAGGTTTGTTTCGTTTTTGAACTTTTTTTTTTTGCTTGTTTTCTATTGGTGAGAGGTGGGGGGTGCTATTTCTATTATTACTGCAGGCTACTGCTTGCTTCTGTGTAGTATACTGTCCATTACACACTTTTTCTTTGACTGCTTTTATTTTTCTTTCTTATATATGACTGTCGATGCCGTTGAATTTTTGAAATTCGATTAAAAGATGATTGGCTGCGCGCCCCCAGCCGGATTCATAAAATCCAGTGATGGACGAACCTTACCGCCGCGTGTTGAGAGGAGGGGTGGATGCACGCAGTGGACAACATCACGACGGATGGAAAAGGGGGAGATCTTATGGTCAGAGTGTCTCTTTGTGTTTGGCGTTGCTGCGGCTGGTGGCACTTCCTTGATCTTGACGGGAGACATGGAGTGGAATAAGACGGCAAGCACCGTGTGGAATGCTATGGTTTCCAAGGGGGGTGAAAAGGTGACGGTGTGGGCCGTAGGATTCAGCGCACTCTCTCGTGCGTTGTTGGTGGCCAGTCATCGCCCCACAATTGCAAACTTGCTGGTCGAACCCCAACCCATTTCGCCCCGGTCGGACATTGTTGTACTCTCGTTATCGACACTTTTGGTGAAGAGCTATGAGAAACTGAAGGGTGCTTCTCCACTGACACCAATACAAGCTGCCTGGTTGCTCATTGCTATGCAGGAGGGCAGTATGTCACTGCATGATCCTTCGGAAACAAGGATGACATGGTTGAGTTGTTTTCTTCCCTTTTCACAAAGGGCGACCAGAGTTCCACTGAAGGCGGCAGCAAATGCCTTTCTCTTTATCGATTCAGTAACAAGGGCAGGCGAGGTTAAGGTGTGCTGTTCAGCTCTCAAGACTATTCCTGCCGAAACACAGGTGCGATTGCATCTGGGAACTTCGTTTGACGCCGCCGTGTGTGTGGAGGACGGCTTGAAACTTCAATGGGAGAATTATTGCCGTAGTACAGAATGCTTAGTGCTCGGTGTTTTATAAGAGAGAGAACGAGAAGGTTGGCTTCTCTTGCGTTATATATATATATATATATATATATATATGGTTTGGCCTGGTTTGATATTATGGAACGTATAGTTCCATGCATATACATATATAGATTGATAGATGAAAGTAGTTATCGTAGGCGCTGGACTCTCAGGCCCGTCTCTTGCAGCGTTTTTGCGTCATTCGAACGTTGAGTGTATCGTGCTGGAACAGGCACTGCTTTTGCGGACAATGTATCATCCACCTTTTACATTGTTTGCAAATGCCCTAAGTTGCTACAAGGCATTTGGAATGGATCACGTGTTGAACGGGGGAGATGTTGTTTCCGACGACTGTTTTGGCATTTTGGACGAACATCTTCGTTGACTGCTCAGAGTACGCAACCGGAGTGTGCATCTCAAGGCTTTAGGAGAGGGGGACATGATACCTCTTAGTACGGCATCGGCCGCAAACAGCGAGTCTATCGTTTCACGGCGCATTGCAGAAAAGATGAAACAAGAGCTTGGCAGTGTTTTGCTGCGTGCAACCTTCTCAGCTGATTACCTTCGCCGCATCCTTGGATATCATCTTGGGGATGTGCGTTTCAATAGTCGGGTTGTGGATCTTCTGCAGCACGATGGAGTCAAGGGTGGAGTACACGTTGTTTTGGAGAACGGGCAAACAGAATGGGGTGATGTGGTGGTGAGAGCGGATGGGGCACACAGTACGATTCGAAGGCTTTTGTATCCGATGGAATACGTTGGTACGAGCTGTCGCTCGCTAGGAATGACACAGGTGGATGGGTTTGTTGACCTTGGCCATGGTGATTGTCCAACAGGCGACTACCCTGTCGAGGTCTGGGTCAGGCGTCGTGTACTCTCATGTGTCCCACTGCACCGTGACGAAAGACATCAACTTTCTTTTTCAGCCACACTCTACGATCCACCTATGATGTTGGTGGATATTGATAACGAAACACAGATGCCATGGCTGTGCGGGATGTCTATCGTGCCGTGCCACACCGCGAATTTGCTGCCTTTGGTGATAACATTAGTAGCCTTCTGGGAGGGGCGGAGGTGGTCATTTTCACTGAACTTGTGGAGGCTCCTGTTATGCCGCGATGGTTCAATAAACGTGCAGTGTTAATTGGAGAAGCTGCGCATGGCTCTTTGCCCTCCTTCCTGGCGCAAGATGCTTCGTTGTGTATGGAGGATGCGGCTCTGTGAGCGACGCTGCTGATTGATGTTCCGTTGTGCAACGACACGGGATTTGAGTACGTCTTTAGGCAGTTTGAAACGCTGCGGCGTGACCGTGCAGAGCGGTATATTCGCCAGTCACGCCGAGCCCGCCGCTTCACAGCTATGACACATTCAAATGTGCGGGATGCGATGCTGAGGGTAACCCTTTCCGTGACGCTAACGTGTTTTCAGAGGTGGCTGTCAAACTGGAGGTATGGCTCGCAGCAGTTGGAGGTGGATCCCAAAATAAAAGCTGGAGACGGCGTTTCGAAGCTGAAAGCTTGTTGCTGTTGTATTGCTTCTCCACTTTTTTTATCTGTGGTTTTACATACACACAGGGTTCTCGATGCTGTGCGGCGCAAAACATGAGCGTTGCTGACGGCAGAAGAGCTACCTGGATTGCTTGTGCCCTCTAAACTCTTCAATACACGTTTTTATTTTTATTTGTTTGTTTTGTTTATGTGTGTTTTGCTTTGCTTCTTTTTATGTATTTGTGTTTTCCTACGTGCGACGTCTCTGCGTTTCCTGTGTGTTAGTTGGGGGCTTGCTAGGTATTCTTGCCTTTATGTTTGGGTAGCATGGTGACAATTCTTTATGCCCGTGTGGAATCCACAGACGGGGTTCTCTTAGCCGAGGCTCAGGCTGTCTCGAGTATGCACGCGGCAAGCGCCAGGAAGGTGCTCGCGAACATCAAGGGGCCGCTTGTGGAGAGGAGGTGTGTTATGTACAACGGCTACTCATACGACATCTTGCCGCACAGTGATGGGACAGTGTACCTGTGTGTAACGGAGAAATCATGTGGTCGCGGAACTTCCTTTAGGTTCCTAGAGGCCGCTCAACGACGCTGCAGCTCACAGCGTAGCAATCCTGCTAGTATGGCTGCCGAGTTGAAGGAGGAAGTTGATTTGTTTAACGGTGCGCAGAGCACAAGGATACGGGAGCTTCGTTCGGAAATAGAAACTGTCAAGGGGGCAATGATCGCGAATGTGGATAAACTGTTGTGCCGTGAAGAAAGACTCGATACGCTGTTATTGCAGTCTTCCGTGCTTGAGGGCGAATCATCGGCATTCCGACAGAATGCAAGGAGCTTGGAGCGCCAGTTTCTCAACCGGCGGATTGCTATCGGTGTCTCCGTTGCTCTAGTTGTGTTGATTTTGCTATTTGTGATTATTTTTATGATATGCTCTAGGGGCGGGGCCAACTTTGACCGCTGCCGCAGCCATTGAATACGACTTTGGGTCTAATGGAGCTCGCGGTTGACGTTTTTCATGGCATTTAGAGTTTTGTGGTTTTTTTTTTCTTCTTGTACTTTCTGTCTTTGTGCGTCAGGCTCTCTCAAGCGTGTCTGTGTTACTGTTTTTGTTCTTGTTGGCGGGTGAGGAGGAGTGGGGGGCGCTGTGGATGGAAACTTGGGCTTCTCTGGTACCGTTTTTTTTTTCTTCTTCACTCTCGGCTTTGCTGCAGTGCTGTGTGCTTTTTTGCAAGTGGCCGCAGAGCACTCACTCGGAGACGTGGTGCTTTGGGGTTGATGGACGCGTTTCATTATGAGGAGGTGGCGCTGAGTGAGGTATGCGTGGAAGGAGAAATGCTGCGCTATCCGTGTCCGTGTGGGGATCTTTTTGAGCTTTCCCTCAAGGACTTTGCTGCTGGAGCCGATGTCGCTCAATGTCCCACGTGTTCACTCACGCTCCGTATCATCTGCACCGAAGCGGAGCGAAGGGCCTTTATGAGTCATCATGGCACTGGAGGAGGTCAGCTGCGCCCTGTCCCGGCTTAATCGCCGCGTATAAAACCGCATATGCGTTGTAAGATTGTGGAGGGAATGTATACCTCAGTGGGGTAAAGCCGATGGTGTCCTGTTGGAAAGCATCCTGCGCTTTGTTGTTGTTGTTTCTAACTCCAGTTGCTTTTTTTTTTCTTTTTTCCCCTTCCCCTTGTCCTTCACACGGAATTCACTTAAGCGAGAAAATACAACACACGTATATCTACGCAACTATACGTAGATAAGTGTAGAGGGACTGCCGTGGTGGGAGCAAAAACGACATCTGTAGGGTTACCGTTGACTCATGGTGTTTCGTCGGCTGTGTCTCTCTGGCGGTGTGAGAGCCGTTGAGGTGCGTTTTCTTTCCATGACGAGCGACGCACGTGAGACTCTGACCAAGCAGCTATCTGCATTGAAGAATGAGTGCAAGGGACAGGGGTTGGATTTAGCGGACATGAGCGATGCTTCGCGGGCCGCGATGCGGGCGGTGCAGGATGGCCTAAAACGTGCCAACGTTGAGGATGACCAGTTCAAGGGGAAATACACAACACTGTCGGCCTCTATGAAGGCGTACACAGCACGTCTATCAAATCTACAGGATGAGGCACGGTCAATCCAGGCTGAGGCGGACGCGCTGCTTAAACTCATGTGGGGCACCGAGGCCCCACCAAAGGCCGCTTCTTTTGTGTCATCTCCAACGTCAACTGAGGAAGCTGGGACCGTTTCTGCTGCGGCGGATGTGAAGGAAACTGAAACAGACGATGATAAATTTGTCGTGGAACCGCCTAATCTAGCCAAGGCGTCAGGGAATGGCAAGCGGCCTGCTGAGCGCGTTGAGGCCGAGCGGGTGCAGGGCATCGCAAGGAAATCAGCGGAGGAGGTGATAGTGGAGGAGATTGAGGTGGAGACCATTGAGGTAGAAGTAGAGGCCAAGGAAAGTCCTGCCGACACCATGAAGATCACCGACATCACGAAGGAGTTGTACGAACGGGGAGTGAACTTTTCTGACTGCCTTGACGCGCGGACGTTACGTCAGCGATACAAGGATATGCTGGCGGGAAAGATTCCGTCCGGCATTCCTCCAGGCATGCCAATTTCGAGTCCGGCGGCTGCAGAAGTAAACACTAACCAGCCTCGCATGCCGCAGCATCGACCGTACCAACAGCAGCAGCAGCAGGCTAATACGAAGGAGTCTGGGCTTGCTCATGATCCGTATCCTAATGCATACAGGAAGATGGTGGACCCCATGAAACATGTGTGGGAGCTTAAGAACGAGCTTGCGGCAGAGAAAGGTATTGATCCAAAGAGTGTGGACCTGTGGAGTGGGAAATGCAAGCTAGAGGACCACAAGATGTTGTATGATTATCCATCCGTGCAGAGCCACCCCATAGAGGTGCGTCAGAAGGGAGACATTCCACGGTAAGGCCGTGAGATGTTGTGTCTTGTACGAACGACGCATGACTTTATTTTGCAATGGCGCTCAAGTAGCGAAATGAGAAGGCACGAGGATCGATAATTGCCCTAAAGAGGAGAAGAAAACCAGTGGAGAGGAAACTACAAATATTTCCTTTTATATTTGTTGGTTTGATTCCGGATGGTTATTACTATTATTATTATTATTTTGTTTTATTATTGGTGTTATTCTTGGTTACTCTGGGCTTTACCAGGCAAAAATATATTCGCCTGTATCTACCACATGCATGCGTATCGCCTTGCATATACGCGTTGAAACCTGTACATTCGGATATGTATGGGAGCTTTCCGTGGACTTTTTTGTTTTGTTTTGGGTTTTGTTTATTGCTGTTTCTCAAGAGTTTGCCTTGTGGGCAGCAAGGGAATGTACCGAGAACTGGACGCACTTGTTTCAACCGAGGCATTGGAGACAGAACGCAAAGTTTCCCAACGGCGTTTGTACCTTATCACCTTTGTTGTTTTTTCCGTGGTTGCAGGGGGATCCTTTGCGTGTGTCGTCTTTGGCATCTCTGAAATTGCGAGCCACGACTCCACACTTATGAATGACGGACTTGGGGAAGTCATGACAGTCCTCGGGATATGTTTTACACTCCCGTGTGTGTTTTGCGTTGTAGTTTTTGCGTCACTGGCATTAGGCCTTTCATGCTGTCCATCCAATCCCCGTTTTAGTACCCTCCTTGTCATTGGGCTGACCTTGATTTCCTTTGTGACCCAGCAGATTCTGTGCGACGTGTTTTTGTTTCGTTTTATTGGTTTTCCCACGGCGGCCGCTTTGGTTGCGGATGTGTGTGTTGCTGCATCTTATATATTTCTACACGCACGGAGTTTCTACGTACCTACTGTTTTGACAGTCGTGGTGTTTGTGGGGAAAACAGCTGCTTTGTGGGGTGTAACGTTCACTCGTCATGCGGACGAGCAGCAGCGGCATTATCAGCAGCAGCAGCAGCTCAGCTCCAGTGGCCTCTTTGCGATGCTGGCGTTAACGGTTTCTATTGTTCAACTGCCGCTGTATATTACCGAGACACGTGAATGGTCAGGACGGGATAATAATGTTGTGGCAGAGAACACCATTGTGGGAAACTTCAACAACAATTTCAACCTTCTTCTCCTTCACCTGCTAAACTCCCTGGACATTTTTACCGTGTACAGTTCTGTTCTTTTTCCTGGCACACGAAAAGGTTCCCTTCGAACCGTACCAGAGCCATTTCAAATTCTTATTTCTATTATTGTCAGCGTTGCGTTTGTAGGGAACAACGTTGGCGTCATTCACTTATTTTATGCACGTGATGGGGTCGAATGCGCGGAACTTATGTTTCTGCCGAAGAGGCTGCGTGATGCCATTAATCAGTGGAGCAGCACTGATGCAAATGGAAGCCACAAGCGTCGTATTCTTCAATATATGTTGCTGCTTATTGTTGTGTGCGATGTTCCTCTGTTGGCAGTACGAACGCAGCTCTGGTGGAGAGACCATCAGATGCTAAGCATATTTCTCATAAAAAACATCAAGGCGATTTTTGACATGTTTATGGTGGTGCTTCGCGTGGGTCGTTCACTTGGGTCCGCCGATCGTGTGTGGGATTCGTTTGCCGAGAATTAGTGATCGCTGTTCTTTTTTTTTTTTTGTCTCTTCGGTTGTCTTTCATCGAGCTTGAATTATAACTCGCGTTGATATTTAAAGGGAACCCCCAAGACCCCATCAAAACAAAAAATAAAGACATAATAACAATATTGTTCCCTTTCTGTGTGTTTCCCGAACATTTATTCGCCTTAATGTTTTTTTTTTCCTTCTTTTTTTTTGCATTTTTGTCTCTGCCGGTCCTTTGTCCTGGGCGGCTCGTGATATAGGGAAGCGGCGACGATGGGGGATGGTCGGTCAATCGATTTGAGCAAGCTCCCAAGCGCAACGATTGGGTTGAAGCAGCCGCTGGAGTTTGTGAGCACAAGTGGGAGACACGTGGTGGGTAACCTTCATGGAATTATGTTTCATGGTGCATCCTCTGCCAGCAGCTATCGGACTGCCGCCACGGTTCGAGGTGCCGTTGGAGCTCGGCGGCGCACCGGAATTTGATTACTGACTTCCTCCTATTGACGTGCTGGGCCGTTTTTTTTTTTTTCCTTACTGCTTGTTCTCCGGGGTGCGGTGTTGTCCTGTTTGGTGGCGCGGAGATACACATTCCCGTGTGTATAAAGATTATGTGAGAGGAATCTGTCTTTAAAATATGTGTGTTTTTTTTTCGTTTGTGGGTGTACTTGCGTGTTTCTGTTTGAGGAATGCCAATGCTTGTTTGTGTATCGTTTTTGCTTTGCTTTTCCTTAGGGGGAGGGGTAATGCGGAGCTGCTCTGTGTCTGCGGATGAGGATAGGTTTGATGTGGCGGCATTTGGATCCTACGGCGGTGACCCAACGGTTTCATGTCCGCCATCGCATGCGCCAACTCACGTGGAGACGATGAGCCTGTTGGACGAACTGTTTTCTTCTCCACCAGTTACTGTGTCGTCGCTGAGTGATCTGGCTGATGATGCGCCAGTGAAGGTGGGTGATGCGGCGAGAACCGGGCTGCCGCTTGAGGTTCATGCTGCTGCTCCACTGCCGAGGTATTCCATTGAGGTGTCGGTAGGGCCAGATTCCACTGGACGTGGCATGGCGTCATCTCTGAGCCCAAAACAGCTGGAGGAGGTCGTGCCAGTTTTTCAGGGAATCTTTAATGATGATGTTCCTCGGTGGTATGAGGCATGCGCTATATTGCGTAGCCTTTCGCCCCGGAGTCCAATAGGCAATGCGCCGAAGTTCATACCGAGTGATGTAGCGGGAGAACTCTCAATGAAGTCTTTTTTCCAGAGCGATCACACTGCCAAGAGTCACTGTGAGTTGGTTTCCATAGCGCCGTTTTTGGAGTTTGAACAAACCTTTCAGCATATTTCAGTATTTCCGGTGTTAAAAATCTCACCGCTGGCCTCTACCCTCCGCCAATGTGTGCAGGATTGGGTGGAAAGCCACGGCGGTGTGCGCGCAGTCTTGTTGAATTCAACTCTGCTGTTAGATCTTCAGACGCTGTTGGAGAACGTTAATGAGGCTTTTGTTGCCTCAGTCGCGACTTCGCCTCAATCTGCTTCGGAGGCATTGCTCCTTTCATCCCTCACAGACATATGCCGATACTGCGTACAGTTGGCGTGCACGTGCATTCCTTATGGGGATCACCCCGTTTCAGCGACCACCATGCAGGCGGTGATGCAGCACAATTCCACGGTTATTTCTCATGTAGTTGAAGAGTTACAAAATCATGAAAAAATTCTTCATTTACTGGTTGTGGCACGCTCTACTGCGTATCATCGATGCTCAGAAGACGTACAAGCCAGCGTTTCTCCCCTTATTGCTGAGCTTCTTTCTCTCTTGGACACCTTTTCCTCATCATCCACCATGCAGTTGGACAAGAAGAAGGGGCTAGACAAACGTTGCAGATTGAGTGGTCTCCGGCTACCTTCCTCCTGCCCATCCGAAGTAATCGATGCCTTTGTCTACCGTTACTGGAAGGAGACGACTAGGGGCCCTACACCCACGTAGAACAGCTGAAAAATGTGTTTGTCTTTTCACTCATCTTGTTTTTGAGTACATGTGTGTCTGTATGTTTGTGTGTTTCCCTTGTTTTGTTCCCCTTTTTTTATTCAACCCGCGGCGTACTGCGTGTTATGAGTAGTTTTTTTCTGCATGTGTGAGCGTGAGAAATAACTGTTGAACACGCCGTGAAAATATAATTTGTTCTTTCCTATTTGTGCTTTGTGCTTTGTGCTTTGTGCTTTGTGCTTTGTGCTTTGTGCTTTGTGCTTTGTGCGTGTGCGTGTGCGTGTGCGTGTGCGTGTGCGTGTGGTGGTGGTGGTGGTGGTGGTGGTGGTGGTGGGGGTGCAGGGTTATCATTTGTTTATTATTATTTGCCGCGTTTCCCTTCTTTTGCTCATCAGCTAAATTCAAAAAAAAAACTGTTTGGGAATGCACTCGAGGGAGATGTCGTCCGTCCGCACGCCCACCTTTGAGGACATTGCACTCGAGAACCGCAGGCGTTTGGGGCTAATGGGCATTCTTCCAAATAACAGGGTTGCACTGCATTCGTTGATGCAGATGATGTCCTGCATGGGGGAGTTGTCTAACCTTGCACTTAACAGTGAGGCCTCCTTATCACCCTTTGAACAAGGTGAGGTCCGCACGGTGATTGGAAAGATGGCCGTCTGTTTGGCCACCTTTAGTGAGGCATTTGAGATCAATGTGGGCCAAGCTGCTATGGATACACTTAGAGACTACTCCCAGAAGGCGGACACCAGCACAATAGGACGATCCAGAGGGGATCAGAAAAAAACTACCTTGTCTACGCGGGTTGCGGGAGAGGGACTGGATGAGGAACCAGGCAGTCGCACTCATGAGGAGCCCAATGTACTTCTGTCTCCAACGTCTAATCGGGACTTCTTTAGGTTTCTTGACGAACTTGTCACCTACAGTCGGAGTGATTTTGAAAAGGCTGAGCTCAAGTGGGTTGCCCCTTTGCCTGACGGAACGATTCAAGACCTCATTGAAAATGGCTCAAGCATCAACGTGCAGTACAAGGACCTTCCCCTGTATTTGGAGTGCGTTCAACGCTACCGCAATGCCCGCACAAACGAGGCACAAGGAAGTAAAACAGACGCAGAGCCTTCATCCTCCGCAACATTTCAGCGAGCCCGAACTATAGTTTCTGTTGCGCCGGGCAAACCACACTACAAAAAGGAATCGTTGATTGTCTCGCCGCACACCACCATGGATGGAGGACCGATGAGTCCCAGTAGTCTTATTTTTCCGACGGCACCTGATACATCGATACCCAGGGCAAGCGTGGGCGACTCAAACTCTGCCGAATTGGCCACCTCAGAGGCGGACTTCCGTGCCAAGGTAGATAGGTTAAAACAAGGCCAAGTGACAGGGTCACAGATTGCACAGCTTAACTTGACGTTTAGTGTGCCACAGACTAATGGTCTTTTGGAGCTCATTCCCAACGGTATTCATGTCAAGGTAACATCCGCAAACGTGGGCGAGTTTCTTCGTCTACTTGGGGATAAGTCAGGCATACAAAACGGAAAAATTCGTCGTATGGAAAGCATTAAAAAGCTTGAAGTTTCCAGTGCGGGCTCGCAAGACATTTCGAGGGATAAGGAAAAATTTTCCCCGACACATTTCTCAAAGGGGATTTTTGCGCCATACGACGAGCGCACGAGTTTTTTTGTTGACGTGGATGCATCGGATGAACTCTTGCCTGCATTTATAAAGGATCGGGAAAGTCAGCGGCGAGGGGCTGAAACACCCTATGTGCGTGTTATTCGTAAAGGCGATCTGCGGACGTGGAGGATGATGATTGACGAAGTGCAGAAGCATCCTTCAGCGATAAAAGAATACGGTGTTACCTTTTGTGTCCCTGCTACCATTGCCAGCCACGCGACTGAGGAAGAACAGGCGACAAAGGTGCATGAATTGATAAAGGATGGTGCCTCCACTCTTGTGGATGAGTCCCAAGTTTGGCTGTTCTCCAGACTGATCGAACAATTTTTACACCCAAATGCGTGAAAGGTATCTGTGTTATTTTTCTTCCTTTTTCATTTCATTCAACTTTAAAAAGATGAAAAGAAGATGAAGAAAAAAGAAAAGAAAAGAAAAACCACGAAAAAAACAAAACAACAACAACAAAATGGGAGAAAAAAAAAGAGTTGGGTCATGAGCTTTCTGTGTCTGTCTATCTTGTCTGATGGTGAGGCTATGCCAGGGTATATAGTTGTGGTTTGGGCATGAGGGTCAGCCCGAAACATTTTTTTTTTTTATGTATTCACGAATCTCATTTTTTTTTTTTGTTATTTTCAGTTTTCTGTTTAGGAGCCAGTTGGGGAAGATGTGAGATGAGAAGGGTGTCTGCGCACTGGGATTTGTTCCCCTCCCCATGGGTTCGTTCTCTACGGGATCTTTCACAGGTGGTCGCCGCGTTTGAAGCATGAGGAGGGACTCTTTTGGATTTATCTTCTTGCTGTTGCTGTTTGTGTTGTTCTTATTGCTTGCTTTGAAGCTTCACTCTCTCAACGCCTCTGAGTTGCACGCCACACGACGGTGTCCAGGGCGTTCGGAGGGGGATGGGGGGGGGGGTAGGGGCATGAGGAGAGTTTGTACTTTCCTGCGAAGACTCTGGATTCAGTAGCAGCCTTGACGTTAGCCATCTTTCGATTTCTGTTCTTTGTTTTTTACCGCATCTTTTACTGCCCCGCTGTCAAGAGGGGCCAAAGGAAGAACTCACCGAATCAAAAAAAAACACGCACACGCCGCAAACTGCGCCCACTTGTCCTGCTACCACCCTTGACTCTCTGACAGAGGCTCTATGAACGCTGACGATAGCGACAGCCTGTGGTTGCAGAAAAGCATTCATATGTCAGACCCGATTCCAGAGGCCAATGAGAGGACAAATTCAAACCTTGACAGCAAACAGGATGGGCAACCTACGGCGTCAAAAGTTTGGACAGACCCTGAAATTGAATTGACTAAGACACCTTTCAGTATAACTTCCATGCGACCACTGCATTGCCCTTCGCAACGGCTCTCTGCTCGTCTTTCTGTGTCAAACACGGCCTTTGCGTCGTTTCAGGAGCTTGATGACTTGCGCGCACGCGTGAGCCAAATGACTCGCGAGCGTCTGAAGTGGTCAAATGTCCAACGGGACTTGGAGCTTGCGCGATTTGAACTCGCGCAGGCAAACGAGGAGCTAAAGACTATGCGGGAGTACGTTAAAACGATGAAGGGAGATTTAGATGAGGCGAACAGTCGAGCAGATCGTGAGGTGAAGGTGCGTCACACGCTTGAAATGCAATTGAAGGAGACCATGGGCCAGTGGAGGACCGAAACGGAGTTTCTAAAACAACAACTTGATGACATCAAGGCAGAAAACGCACAGCGTCTCACGGAGATGGCGGATCGCACGGACTTAGAATGTAACTCCCGCACCGAAACTCTGCGGGAACAGGTCGTCAAGCTTTCTGAAGAACTAGAGGAACTGGAGGCGCGAAGTATTCAAGTGGAGCAGGAGCGCGCACATCTTCACAACAAAAATGAGGACTTGCGTGAGCATATGAATGATATTCGTGCAAAATATGAGGAATCCAGGCGATCACTAGAAGAATATTCCAGGCGCTGCACGGAGCTAGAGAAGATGCACGCGGGGTTTGTGGAAGAGACTGAAAAATCACATGCCGATGCGTTACACTCTCACATAACGCTAAGCGAAGAACGCGTCCGCCAGATCACAACATCCAAGGAGAACATGGTAAAAGATCTCCGGCAAGAATTACAGGCACAAAAGGAGAAATCCCGCGCCCTCAGTGATGAGCTTGCTTCCTTACGTTACCGGCATCAGATTGCTGAGGAGGAGTCAAATCAGCAAAATCTGGATCACGTAAAGGAAATAAAACGCCTTGAAGATGAGCATCGACTTGCCCTCTGTCAGCAACAGCTCCAGACTGAAACGCTTTTGCGAGAGACGAAGGGGGGCATATTATCCATGGAAGAGGAACGATCTTCACTACGACGCCAGTTGTCGAGGACGTCGGAGGAGTTGTCGACTGTGACTACCATTCTTGCTCAACGTGAGAAGCACATTAGCCACCTTGAGAAGGAGCTTGCCGCAGTGAAGGAGGCTGCATTGACAATGCAGCAGGAACATATCTCTATCTCCAAAGAGGCAGAGGCGGCGCACGAGGCCCTGAACCACGCCGAGGAACGAGTACGACGGCTGATGGCGCGACAAGATACATCGGATGCTGATTATTCAAGGGACTTGCGAGAAGTAAAGGAGCAGCTCACCTCCACCCAGGAAGAACTTGTGCGTGTGAGGAGTGAGCTCGCCTCCGCTGCGCAAGAAAAAATGCGGCATGAGGTGGAGTGCAGGGGTATCATCTCTGAGCTGCGAGCGAACTTGGAGGAGGCGAGATGTGATAAGGGTGCCATACAGCAAATTACCAGTGAAAAGAAACGCGCTGACGAGCTTGTGGAGGAGTACAGGGGTAAGTATCTTTCCATGTGCAAGAGGGCGGAAAATCTTGATATTGAACTTTCTGCCGCATCAAACAGGTGCACTCTACTTGAAAAGCGTCTTGATGAGGAGTTGCGTCGTTCGATACGAAACGCCTCTTGTTCCCCCACTCCGCAGCGGCAAAATTGTGTGAACAAGCGACTTCGAAGTCCCTCGTCGTTTAACGTGCCACTATCCGTGACAACGCATCCGACAAAGAGGAGTCGGTCTGTTGAACCGAGGGTTTTCACAATTAGTGGATTTGATGCGTCGGATTTGCTAAGCCAAATTAAACAATTACCCCACGCCACCGTTGCAGAGTGTCGGTCCAACACACCTGTCCCTTCTAACTTGACTCACCTTGTTACAAACGGCCAGTTAACTATTAAATTACTTACAGCCTTGGTGCGTGGTTGTTGGATATTGCCGGACGCCTATGTGCATGAATCGCTGCGGAATCAACGATGGCTTGATGAAAGTGCCTATGGGTTTCGTCACGAGGTTCTCCCGCTTTCTCAACAACGAATTGGATTCACTGAGGGCTTTGTCTCTTCTAGGCACTACAACACGGCCAAACTTATTATTGACGAGGGGGGTGCCACTGTGGAGAGTGAGTTGCGTATAGCAGACATCGTTTTGTGCATCCACTCTGAACTTGACAGTCTTGGAGGTATACATGCAATGACGTGGGACAAACTTGTGGAACTCATTTATCCAGTGAAGATAGGCGATACGCAGTAGAGGCAGGAAAGGCAACCAAAAACAAAGGAGGGAAAAAGAAATTGGAGTCTTTAAGAAAGAGGGAAGATGTAAACACTCTTACAGACACACAAGCGCTCACACTCATACAGAGATGGTGGGATGTCTCTCTGAGAAGCGACATTTTAGCTTTGTTTATGTGTGTGTGTTTTTTTTTGTTCTATTCTTGTTGTCTTTGTTTTTCGTTGTTGATTTACCAAACCGGGATTTCTTTTTCCGCTTGGTGTTCCTTTCCCCTCCCTCTTCTTCCACAATCTTCTCTTATTTTATGCGGACGCACACTTTTATATGCCCTTCTATTGCATCTGTACATCTGTGTATGGATAAACCTCTGCATGCAATATCTGCTATACAGCTAACAATATGTGTTGGAGAAAGAAAGAGAGAGGGAGAGAGAGAGAGAGAGAGAGAGAGGTA